CCCCCGCTTCCCCCTCCATCTCCCCTTGCGTGATCTTTCAAATTTTCCATATTCTCTGACGTCGTGTGTGGTCTGAAATACTAGCTATGTCTGCGAGCCGATCGAGAACTTGCTGCTTTCCTTCACCACGAGTAAGCTCGGCTGCCTCGGCTGATCCCTGATCACGGATCTGGGCATAATGGGGTAAGTCGTGTTTGAATGACTTTAACCTCGTGTTGTTTCCCTAACCCTTTCTTCCAACTTGTGTTTTATGCTTGCCTTTGGTCCACCTTCCTTTGATTATCGTGGTCAACATACCAACGAAGTTCTGTCGCTTTTACTAGCACTAAGATACTAGGAAAAATTCAGTTTTTAGAACATTTCAATATTTGTTTACAGGTCATTCACTTTCTGTGCTGTTTCTCTTCACCACAATAATCGTCAAAGCTAACATGAAGTATTGCAGTAAGTGCCTTTGCAGCCTCCAGAATTACTAATACTTAAAGGTTTTGGTGTTTGCCTAGCCCGTGCTGATAGTGGTTTCATTGTTTCTTTACAGTAGTGTTTGCTGTCTGGACCTTGATCATCAAGATGATTTTCAACTGTCACTTATGTGACTTCAGAACACCTTCACTCAGCAGTCATCTCCAACATAACTTTCGACACCGACATATTTCATCTCGCTTTCATTGTGGATTGAATGACTGCCAAACCGATTTTGCCACTGAGGCCTCATTACGGCCTCACATCCTACGCTTTCACAACTCATCATGTCGGCAGTCACTCAACAGTCCTCTTGTTGTATGCAACAGGTATGCAAAGTTTGATTGCTCTGTTGCAGACTGCAAAAAGAGTTTTGAAGATTATTCCGAGTTTTTGAAGCATCTCAAAGCGCATATGAGTCATGGAGTGTTCACGTCATGCCCTGTTGAGGGATGTCCAAAGAAGTATAAAAATATTCAGACGTTCACTGGCCACATGACTAAGAAGCACAAGAATACTTCAAGCTCTTCTCAGGTTTTGCCTCAACTCGCTGTAGTTACTCAGCCAGCTATTTTGGAAAATTCTGTGGACATTAGTTCTACTGCTTTTGGGGATTTTGACAATGATTGTGGAACTGAACATGAGTGTTTTGATGACATTTCTAGTGACAGGTTTTTAGAGACAATGTGTCAATTTTATATGAAACTGGAGTATGAGTTAATGTTGCCTGCATCAACTGTTCAGTATATTGCTAAAGAGCTCTCAGTGCTTCATTCAGGAAATAATAATTTAATAGAGAAAAGGCTCAAAAGAAAGTTACAGCATTGCAAGATAAAAAATGTTGATGAAATTGTCTCATATGTCATGGCTGACAATCCTTTGAAAAAAATTCAAAATGAATTGAAAACTACTTATCTTAGGAAGGAAACCTACAAACGCCATTTCAGTTATGTAAATCCACAGCGTATGCCAATCCACAAGGGTCCCTACAGTAAACATTTTTATTTTGTTCCTATCAAGGAGACTGTCAAAGCTCTGTTTTCTGACAAGTCTATTTCCTTCAAGTTGTCACCACCTCAATTTTCTCAAATTGAGGACTTGCTACTGGATTACACAGATGGGTATGTTTTCAAGGAGAATGCATTTTTTATCAGTAATCCTCTTGGATTACACTTTATCTTGTATCAGGATGCACTTGAAATTGTTGTACCAATTGGACCAGCAAAAAAGAAATACAAACTCTTAGCTGTGTACCTTATAATTGGTAACATTCCAGCTCACCTAAGATCTCGCATCAGTACTATACAACTTGTTGCCTTGTGTATTGAAAAATATTTTAATCATGAAGAATTCTATGGTCCCATTGTGAAAGATCTTAAAGGTATTGAAACTGTTGGTGTGGATATACCCGGAGTTGGTACTGTTAAAGGTTCTCTTGTATGTATTGTTGGAGACAACTTAGGCAGCCACGGGCTTGGAGGATTTGTTGAGCAGTTCAGTACTTCATTGTATTTTTGTCGGTTTTGCCTCATCAAAAGAAAAGATTTCCATAAAGCAGGTGGAGAGCTAGCCACATTTGCGCCAAGAACTGTTGATTCCTATGATAATTCTTTGACCCGCTTAGCTGAATCAAGAAAAAAAGTTTACCGTGGAATTAAGTTTGATTCCATTTTCAATGAACTGACTTATTTTCATGTGTGCAGAGGCCTCCCCCCTTGCTTGGCCCATGATCTCCATGAGGGCTGTGTTACTTTTGACATGAAAATTTTTATTGATTACTTTGTGGACAAGGAATGGTTTACATTCGAGTCATTAACAAAATCATTAGAAGATTTCAATTTCTCTGTGAAGGACAAGCGAGACCGCCCTATTCCAGTTCTGGAATCACATACAAGAGTTAAAGGGGGAGCCTGGCAAATTTGTGTTTTTTTGAGGCTTTTTCCACTTTTGGTTAAAAACTTCATTCTTGATGAGAATGATCCAGTGTGGCGTGCTATGTTGTTGCTCATTGAAATAGTTGAAATTGTGCTCTCACCTAGTATTCACAGATCATACTTGCCGTATCTGCATCAGTGCATCACTGACTATCTCCACCAAAGGAAGACTCTTTTTCCTGAAATTCAGCTTCGACCTAAGCATCATTATTTGTCACACTATAGTGAATTAACTGAAGCCTTTGGCCCATTAATAAGGGTCTTCACTCTAAGGTTTGAGAGCAAGCACACCTTTTTCAAACGGTGCATTAGGGCTTTCCGTAACTTCATAAACCCTACATTGTCTCTGTCTGTTCGGCATGAACTGTATCAGGCCTATCGTAGAAGTGGTGCTGACAGACACTGTAAAGTTAACGTGATGGGAGATTCAGATTCCTTTCTTCAAAATTACTCTGATGAGATCAAGAGAGAAATCTCCTCAAAACATCTATCTGCCGGCATCAATGAATGTGTCAGCGCTGAAGTTCTTGGCACAATCTATAAGAAGGGGAATATTGTTGCAATTAGGCAGACAACATATCAATATGAGGTTGAAATTGGAAGAATCCTCCTTGTCTTGTATGATAACAAGGACGGTGTTTATTTGCTGTTGGAAAAACTGGCAACTGAATTTATTCCTCATTTGAGAGTGTACGAAGTTGGGTGCAAGATATCATATGAGTGCATTTCTGTCTGTGAGCTCATGAGCACTCAATCACTTCATGTTTATCCTAGTGGGTCTCATCTCTATGTGAAGCTGCATCATGCTCTTGTCAGTGACGAACTGGACTAAATCTTATAATTAGATGTAAATTGTTTCTATAATAGTACCACATGAGTTTAAACTTTACATATTTTATGTTTCTTTATCTGTTTTACATTGTTAAACATAGCAGTTTTAAATACCTAAATATTATTATTTGTTTTAATTTTGTAAGTTGTATGTCAAATAATGTAAATTGTTTTAATTTCATTCAATGTGTAAGTCTAGTCTTGACATGAATTGGTTTTATCAATTCTACAATAAAGATTGTATTTAGTGACAAATTGTTAATACAGATTTATGAAGCCCTTAAACTGTAAAGCTATGTACCTGATCTTCCTGGGCGTGTTTGACTTTTCATGCCTTTTGGTTATTGATGATTATTAATGTATATTTGTCTTGTGTGTGTTCCATGTCACGCTTGTTTTCATTAAATACATGAAACTTGACCGAGCTGGTTGTTCTTGGGTATTCCATAATTTATAAAGTTTCTCAAATTTCTCTTGGCACAATGCTATAATCCCAAAATTGCTTTACAAAATAAATAAAAATTTCAAATTTACATCTGGTGTCAATGTTGGGGATATGAGTAGTTCTCAAACTGACTGAACCCAGTAACTTGAATTGAAATGGAACTATAATTTGATTAACTGAGTTACATGATTTCTTTCCAATAAGCAAGTTTTGTTAATCCCGATAAAGGTCACTCTAAAGATGTTACCAATTAAGAGAGCTGGTAGAGCTGATATGTCCCATTTCTTTCTTTTAATTTCTCACGAGGTGGCTTTTGACCAAATTATGACTGGCAATAGATTCTTTTGTTATGTCTTCAACTCTCATGAAAATTTGCACATGGGATTGTCTATTTTGTTTTGATTTTGAGAGTGCAAAGCTTGTCAGCATTGCATGCATGTAACTTCTCAATCAACCAAAACACAGAATTGAAACTTGTTAAAAGATTTGAAACGAAGTTGGACGTATTAAAAGTTTAATTTGATCAAAAATAAAAGTACAAAGTCTTGTGCTGATGCCATAGTAAGTACTTCATCATTGGCATTATAAATTCAACTATCACTAACTAACATATAAAATATTCAAGAGCATGAGGTCAATGGCTAGTCACTAAATCACATAGTTAAAGTCACAATCTTACAGATATATCGTCAGCTGAACTAAAAACTAAATCATCTTCAAAAGTCCTCGGAAACTGAAAACAGAAAGCATTTTAATCAGAACAGGCAACTAAACGTGTAACTAAGAATAACAAAACGTGTCAATGATTTCAACTCACATTGTGTATCTTGAGTGCATTCAAACTGCAACACCGTCAGTCCCTCTTCTCCATGAATTCTCCCAACCCTCTCCAAATAATTATTAGCCTTGGCCGTTGCCTCACGCTTGGTACCTAAAAGAAGGGATTGCGTATCAATTATTGAACAGAAAGTGTTGCAAAATTATAATCAACCGAAGAACAAAACACTTTACTCCTTGCACTTACTTCCAGATCCGAGCACAACACAAAGTGACGGATCACTACCTGGCGGTCTCCTAATCCAGAAGATATCGCCACCACTTTTCTCTCTGAACCGTAGAGGAGCTCCATTGCACGTAAACTTCACTGGCTCATACAACAAGCACGCACAGAGCCAAACTGTCGAAGCAGATTCCATAGTACTGAAATTGCAAAAGTAGACAAAAGTGAGGGTTGAGATTCGACTTTGATTAGACTGCTTAGCGACCAGACTCACAAAATTAACACGGCTCACCTGTTCTTTGTTGAGTGTCCTCGCAAACCAGAGTGAAATGAGAATGAAAGGACATTTTTGACACCGCCAGCATGCTTGGCCTAGGTTAAGTCGATCCAGCAGACATTGAGAGAGCGATCTGGGAATTTCAGGTTCGTTTTGTATCATAAAAAGACGGATCGAGTTCGAAGATGAGCATTCTAGCTCAAAAATTGACTTTGTTCTATTTTCTTTAATTTAAAAATTGGCGTTTTTGTAATTTTTTCATTTAAAAATTGACTTTGTTGTATTTTTTTTCATTTTAGAATTGGCGGTTTTGTACAGAATACAAAATTTATTAATCACTTTCTTAAAATATAATTGTTTTCTTCATGAGCTAGTTTTGTTGTTCTCATTTTCCATTGATCAGTTTTCACACCTCTGAGCGATTAGCAGTCTTACCAGCAACCAAACGCAAGAAGTAATGCAACCCCACTCTGAACCCACGAAACGCCGGTGAATTTTTTCTTAAGAGGTTGGCAGTACACCGAATCGCTGTTATGACGTCACAAAAATAGTGTGCCCTTAAGGCACGTCCCCGTTACGGACGCTGAAATTTATCGTTTTGTATCTCGCGACCTGAACTTGAAGATTGAAGATGTTGAAGCTCTGCAGCTCGAAGTTGGACTTCCGAAGTTCTTCATCAAGGTGAAGTGCCCTAATACCGTCGCCCAGATCCTGGACAAGAACTTCTATCAATGTAAACATGTGTCTTCGCGCAACCGTGTGTTCGAGGCGAGGGGTAAACCACTCTTAAAAGTAGGTGTACGCGATTAAACTAGCTATATGTACGCCAGACCACGTCTCGCGTAACAGGCTTCGCGATATCTCACGAAACACTGTTACGCTGCGACGCGCCTGGCCCACAAATAGCTACGCTGCTTCGCTCCGCCGGCAACTCCGTTCGGCAGGGGCCGGACCTGCTTGGCCTGCCGGCGGCGATGGTCGAGCCTGCGGCCCGCGGCCCGACCATTTCTGTCACGCAGCAAAATATAAAGAAAACTCTCCCCCCACCCCCAAAAAACGTTTTCTAAGCAGAAGGGCGGGTTGTAGTCGCGGTGCTTCACCGTGTTACATCCCTTTCTTTAGTCTTTGGGGAACTCAAAGATGACGGGTTTAAGCGGGCCGAAGGCCCGCTACATCATTCGATCATGTTCTTCGGGTCGCAGGCCCGACCAGCGTCGCCGGCAGGCCAAGCACGCCCGGCCCGTGCCGAACGGAGTTGCCGTCGGAGCGAAGCGGAGCTGGCAACTTCGTTTGGTGGAAGGGCGGGCCTGCTTGTTACCAGGTCCCTTTCCTGTCTGCTTCATATGCAAAACTCAACAAACGAAGCATTATTTTCATACGCTGAACATTTTTTGCTGTGTGTGCCGCAGTTGGCAGAATACATGCAAGTTATGCCAAACCCCTTCTAAGTTATTGATGTTAGCTTATGGATCCAATAACACACCTATGGAAAGATATATCAGACTAGACCCAGATGAAGTTAAATATATTTCCAGGCATACTCTAAAATAACTCAGAACGTGTCCGTCCGCAATGATTTTGCTATAATTACTAATAGAAAGGAAGCAGCCTGTGAAGTACAACAAAACCAGGAAATACTGTACATGATTTTTTTTAATTTTATTTTTTAGCAATGGAGTGTACACATTTTTTTAATGATGTACCACCATAAAATAAGCCCACTCTTCTGCTTAGAAGAAAATTTTGAACCGACGGCATACTTCTCAGACAAAAGGGGTAG